ACGTGGGTTTTCACAGCTTGAATTTCCATCGAGTAAATCTCGCAGAATATTTCAGTAACTAAGCGGTGGTCAGGAGCACAGCCTTTCCCTTTGAGACAAAAAAAAAAATGCGGCGTCTGTTGCACTTAGATCTGAAAACCAAGTACTTGGGACAGACGGAAAAATCTGAAGTTTAAGCTCTCTGATTATTGTTAAATATTTTGATTACTGTATACAGCGTATTTATTACTTGTCTTCATTTATGTTTGAAGAGCTGAGATTCTCTGAGCAAGTTAATCACAGCATTTCAATGTGAAATATTTTCATAGTTTGGAGCACTCAGATGAGTTTAAATTACACATTTTACTGGATTTTAATTGCAACATTTCTTTATATAAATAACTTTGTAAATATTCTTTTAACCTCGCTGCGTGAAAATACATTAATTTACAATCACGCTAAAATTTACAAGCAATTTTTTTTTCCAGATGAAAAGCTAATGATGAGTGGATTGCAGCAAATTCTCTTCATTAGTTCGTGGCTATTCAGAGCCTTGCAAAAGAACTCACGTGGTTGCCTAACTACACAAAAATAGCAGAATTAATATTCCCTCCGAGTTCCCAGGCACCAGCCGGGGGGAGGCATCCTGCGAGCCCCGGGCGGACCCCGAAGCGCGTGGGAAAGAAGGAGTTAAAACGGGCAGCCTTTCTGGCGAGTCAGCCCGGACAGCGAGCGCAGGCCTTTCCTCTTTCGCCTTTTTTTTTCTTCTTAATTAATCATACGCTGCTTCACAATTTAAATATGGAAATGGCGAGCCATTCGCAATTATTAATGAGCCTGCGGGCTGTCCTGTGGCGTTTCACGACAAGCTGTGTCAGCCCGCGGAAAGCAGCATGGCATCTCCTTTCTGATGTGTGTGAAATTTATGTGCACAAAGGCTCCTCCTTATCTATGCGCAAGCTAAATAAATAAATAAAGGCTTTTGTTTGCCCGGCTACTTGCACATGACTGTTTTGACTAAACCACTCCAGTTATTTGTAACTTTACAGTGCCTAGAGAGAAAAAGCGGGGTGGGGGTGGGGGGGGGTGGAG